CCTTTAGCTTAGCGGTGGTGACGTGAAGTCATGTGACCGGGCTGTAGTTCCTTTATAGCCCAACATTAGCCACCTTTAGCTTAGTGTTGTTGACGTGAAGTCATGTGACCGTACTGTAGTTCTTTTATAGCCCAACATTAGCCGCCTTTAGCTTAGCAGTGGTGAGGTGAAGTCATGTGACCGTGCTGTAGTTCCTTTATAGCCCAACATTAGCCACCTTTAGCTTAGCGGTGGTGACGTGAAGTCATATGACCGTGCTGTACCGTGGGCTTTATTGCACGACATTAGCTTTTTAAACAAAAAGGCATAAAGTGGTTTTAATATGTAAAGATACTGAACCAAGTGGCATCATAAATGTTTTTTCCACAGAGATTATTTTCTACAATATTCCAAAAGCCAATGGAAAAATCCCATTGGCTTTTTAGTCGAGGGATATGGAGATACTAACTTCAGTGTCTGCCTACAGAAATACATCATTACTACATCACTAGCGCTAAATGTGATTCACTTCGTATAAAACATCCTAATAATATATTTACACACTTTCTCTTTGGCTCCGCCCCCCGACAGACTTCCTGGGCAGGACAGAGATCCGATTGGCTGAAATAAAGAAGGACCAGGGCTCTAAAGGACCAATCACGAAGCGGTTGCTGCTCCACGAGGTTCCAACCGGAGAGATCGTCGTCAGGCTTGACCTCCAGCTGTTTGAAGAGCCGTAAAAAAATATATATGAAAACCTGGACAGGATCAGACTGGACTGGATCGGACTGGAAAGTGAAAAAAATACAAAATGTGGAGCTGGATTAGACTGGACTGGAATTTTTTTTTTTGCGCAAGCTGTTTATAACATTAGTCTCATTTGCTTTTAAAAGAACCAATTAAGAGCTTAACTAAATTTACTGTCAGTGACTTCTTTGTCATTTGATTAATTTTGTAATGTGCACCACCTACAACATTAACATGGGTTACTCAATGTTGCAACCCTGTTTTGTGTCAAAATTGAGTTGTAGCCCCTTGATTAATCTAGTGTATCTAGTGCTTAATGTGTGCATTTTAACAATATAACAGATTCATTTACCAAAAACTGAATGAGATTTCACATAATCTGGGCTGGCTGGTGTCTTGAAACATGAAAACAAGGCATACCAATATATAAATACATCTGTAAAGACATTCTTAACGAGCCTCAATGTCATTTAGCCATATTTTCTCTTAAACCGGAGTGGCATTAGCTGTCTAATTTGTAAAGTACTACGCTAAATGTACGTGCTAGTCATTCAAAACAATGCTTTATCCTGAAGGCAGACAGCAGAGGGCAGTGTGCAAATGTTCCTCCTTTTAAATACATGTTTTCATCCAGTTTGCGCAAAGTAAAACGTTTCAAAACTACATATCAAGCTTTCTGAGATTAATATGAAGCCTAGAACCGGATATCTGCAGGTTCAGATGGAATCACTGCATCTCATTACTTTACATTCAGCTGGTGCTTTTATACAAAATCAACAATGACGAAACAAACAAAACAAAAAAGGAAAAATCCTGCAGCCACGTTAACTTTTAATAAGTGCTACTGAATTTATTTCAAATAGGCAAAAATGGTCATATACTCTTGAAACGTGCGATGCGATTTTAGTTCTTAATTTGATTTTAGCAGGTCTTAAAAATGGTTTACTGGTTAGAGATCTTACCAGTTGTACAGATTCGCACCAAACGGGCGATTTTATTTGCACTCCAGTTAGATATTTTGTCTATTTCCAGTGCAGTCTACATCTGTCCTCTTTCATTTGAATTGAATCCAGTCCAGTTTCCTCGATATCAGCCGGGTTTCTCCTCCTCCTCTGCTTCAGCCTCACAGACACTCCAGTGACAATCCCAGCTCTCCTTTTAGTCCCTTAAAAAAACTAACCCTGTGTGTGTTAGTGTGTGTGTGTGAGTGTGTGTGAACGACTGTGTGAGTGTTGATGTGCGGACAGGCTAATTTAAGGTACGATTCAGTGTACATTTTATTTTTATTTTCTAACGTCAGAGTCTCAGAGTCTTAAGTGAAACTCCTCAGGCTTTCTGCTGTGAGTGACTGCATGTAAAGGGACTTCAATTTGAGCTTTCATTGAACACTTGCCATGTCGGAAAACAAAATATATGTACAGGTTTAATGAGAAACGATGCTAATAAGCTGGAAAACCCCCCAGAAATGACAAGTGTCTAGTGTCCTTTTATCATGTTTCAAATCTAATATAATATGCTGGAACACACAGGGAACACGTGACAGCTAATATAAATGAAGGTACTGTAAAGGAAGATTTCACAATGCTGTTGTTAAAGTGGCCGTCGCTATATATGCAGGGGAGCTAAACCCTGAACATGCAAGGTACTACTGACATTTATTTGATAGGAAACAGCCTTTTGGACCATTTTACACTCTAACCCTGAGGAAAATAAGTGTATAAATAACAAAGTTACTGCGTTGGCACTCCCAGCACTTTTGAAACGCACACACTGTCGCTGATATTCAAGCAGAGCAGGACTCAATGTTGCACAGCGGCCATTTTGAATAGTCAAAGTAGGAATTTGCTGACATATGACGTATAAAATAGCTCAGACAGTAAATGTGTGTTTTGTTTGTTAAATTGGATCATTTGTTGTCAAAAAACACTGGAATTTAAAGCAAACGGAAGAATTATTGTATTTGTGAGGGACTATTTTCAGTGGCGGATTAATCCACATTTAGCTTATTTGTAAATATTTGGTATCAAATTGGACGACAATGCAACATCTACAGATGAAGAAGACAATGTATATATAGAATATCATCTGCCCTATCATTTTTGGGCTATTTCTTGAATAAAACTGCAGATTATTAAACCGTTTTGAGAATAAAAGCTGTAGTAGCTGCTTACAATTAGCACGAGGCTAGCTAGTAAGCTAAAGACTGCAGCAGCTCACTATAGCTAAAAGTATTCAAGTTTACAAATTCCTTCTCCAAAGTTTAAGGACTTATAGTTACCTCCTACAAGACGTTTGTGTATTTGTTTATTATTGTATTTAATGTGGAAACTACTGAAATTAAGAGTAAAGAATTAGCATAGCATGGGCCGAGGAAGAACCCATTACATTTTGGAGCAAACCATAATCACGGGGGTGGTTACATAGATTTTATTTAACTTATTTTACATTGGGGGGGTATGGCATTTGGCCTTGATGGACGTCTGTGTTCTTTGAGTACCATTTTAATTTCTTATTTTTTTATAATGTTGAGTATATAGCTTTTTTTGAGCTGTTGTTTACTATTGATGCCTCCAAATGGAGTTGTGTTGGTTTGTTCTGGAAAACGTGCCAATGGAAAGGAACCATGACCTTTCTAAAAACAAATATAGTTTTATTGTTCTTTGACAAATCACTATTTTGGAAAATAAGGCATCAAACACATTCAATCACTTAATTTCCTTTGTCCAAAAACACAGGAGTTTCTTTGAATGCAGCATAATTTCTCCACCATGAGTATTCAAAATGGCCGCTGCATTAGCCAGTTGGACAGGTAACGTTACTGTAGATATGATCGTTAGCTAGTTAGCTAATTGGCTGCTTTTTAATTTAATGCGACGGTTACTGAATTCCCACTGAGACGACCAATAGTTACCTGAGTGACCAGCCACTGTCCAATCAGAAGTCAGCTTGACCTGAGGAAGGTGTGATCGAATGATTGTGATTCCCCTGAAGATTAATTTGTCTTAAACCCCTCTTCCTCTTCTTCCTCTTCTTCCTCCTCTTCTCCACACTGTACTGAAACCGATCCAGTTGCTGTCCACCCACCAGGTTGTGTATAATACTACTGCTATCTGAGAGTTAATATATGAGCGTACAGGAGGCCATAGAGACATTCTGCTGTTAATTATCACTGTAGAAGAAGAGATGTACGTTGTTGTCTTTAATGTTCAGAATAAACTTCAGTTGGACCAAAACTGCAGCTGATTTATTACACACACACACACACACACACACATTGACGTGAAGTCATGNTTGGGCAAGATACTTAACCCTGAGTTGCTCCCGATGGCATGGCCAACGGTGTGTGAATGTGTGTGAATGTTAGGTCCTAGAGTAAGGTACACTGCTCTGTATGAATGGGTGTGAATGGGTGAATGACATGTAGTATGTAAAGCGCTTTGAGGGGTCTTAAAGACTGGATAAAGCGCTATATAAGTACAGTCCATTTACCATTTACACGCTGCACACATAGGAGATAAAGAATCACACACAAACTTGCTTTCAGAAAAGTCACAGTGACACTATAAAAGTGGATTGAGTATATAAAATCTTCCATAGTGTCTGAATGCATGTGAATGTGTCATGAATTAACTTAGATACCGAAATTAAAATGTTATCGACAGTACATTTCCAAATGTTATTTTGATTTGTACTCTAAGAGGTACCACCATCAGGTACCACCATCAGCTCAGTAATATCTTATTAATACTGACACCACTGTATATAATCTTATATACAGTACAATTTACATGTTTATTTCGTTTTTTGAATTCAGTTTTATTTTTTACATTAAGAAAACATAAGTATTCTTAATGTAATTGATTAAAACATACACGGATGAATATGTTTATTTGGAGTCATTATTTTGATCATTAATTAGATAACTGACTTTCTCTATGTTGGTCAATAAACGGTTCTTCTTATCTTATCTCATTGAAACAAATCTTAAGCCCGCTGATCATGTGCAATGTCTTGGTATCATGGGACTGGGAATCTCTTTTAATGCTCCAATTTATGTGAACATGTCCTTGTTTATGTGAGAAGAAACACACACACACATTTATGCAACTGGTTGGAACTCAAAATCTAAAAGATATATTGGCATCTTCTTTTTTTTAATATATATTACTTTATTCTCTTGAAGATCAACATTTCCAATGTAATGTGGCGCAGTGGGCTACCGACACTCCAGTCAACATGCCGTTGTGTCCTTGGGCAAGACACTCCACCCTAATTTGCTCCCGTGGGTATTGTCCACAGTATTGATTACATTACAAAAAATATATTGTGATGTAATGAAAAATATTTAACGACCTGTTAATCACCTTTGTACCACATACATAAAGACATTAAAAGAAAACACTGGTTATATCATCTTTTTGTAGTATTTTTACCAAATTCTACACCTTTGTTTTGATATGAGACCTGATTTTGGGTACTGATACCAAAATAAGACTTTATTTCAATAGCTTACTTTCATAAATATGATCTCCAAAGCATTTGTATTCATTAATTCAATTTCAGCTGTCCTGTGAGTATGTCAGTTTAGTTTTGTGAACCTTTTCTTACGGGAATTCTTGTGTCTAATGTTGTGTTGTAACAGAAGTACGTCTCTGCAGGTGGGAGGCAACTGCTAAGCATACAGTTGACCACATCCTGCCCATATAGCCCTGACACGTCGCACTGACACGTCACACTGACTGTTTTTAACTGTGTCATTTCAGCATGATTTACATTAATTTACATTGGTTGTTTTTCTGAACACTTTATTTTGGCTCTGAGAAACGTTCTATACTGGCCTCACTTCCTTTTTATAAAGTTTTGAATTAGCAGCACTATATTTGTATTTGCAGTGCACACTCACAGCAGACATTTGATTTCTCATTAAAGGTCAATAGCCTCATAAAAAACTAACCTATATAATGAGGCGGAAGTACTCAGAGTAAGTAGAACAAATGTGGTCTTAGAATACTCAATTACAGGTAAAAGTCCTGAATTTAAAGTGTTACTTACACAAACTATGTGTTTAATAAATGTAGTGGAGTAAAGAGTATCATATTTGCCTCTTACATGTAGTAGAAGTCTAAAGTACCATCAAATACAAATAATAATAATAACTACATTTTTGTCACAGTTGGCTATACTGCCAATATTAATTTGCCTAAAAGAGCATTTCTACAGGGTAAAAATTGTGCGTTTGTTTGCCACTTCATATAGATTTGCTCCAAATTGGTGTGTTCCTTCGCCCTTCTTCCAAGATCATGAAAATCAAGCCAAAAATGTGTTTGTGATTCCGAAATATACCTTTTCTCAGTTTCGGATAACATTTAGTACTTTTATGTTTTTAGTATATTCGGGGGTAAGGGTTTGATTAGTGAAGCCCAAAATACAAAATATCTGTCAATGGTGGCAGCTGCACTGTTGTTAGTTCTGTGTGGAAATGACAATGAATGTAAAAAACAACATAACCATCTAAATAAATAGACTGAACGGCGACTCAAACTGTATAATGCCGATTGAAAATGTCCTAGACCATGTATTAATGTGTGGCTTTAAGTATAGTATAGGTAGTACCAAAACTCATTATGCAGAATGGCCATTTTCAGAATGATATATTATATCACTCAAGTATAACTCGTGAGCCATTAACATGTTCCTCATTTACATTTTGCAGAGTTACTTTTTATCATGCCACTTAATCCATAGTGCATGAACATTTGTTTTTCGATTTGTGTGTTTTATGTAAATATAATATGTTGAAATTAACCCAGGAAGCTTTGTAGAGGATTTTTTTTTCATATATAAAATAGAAGTTTGTGGATAGTACTGACCAGCTACTGGACTGTGTGTGTGTGTGTGTGTGTGTGTGTGTGTGCGTGCGTGCGTG